TGGATGCAATTCGAAAGGTATTATGATAACGTTAAATTCTCAAAGCATGTCAAATGAATATGTTTTTCTGAAAGTCTTGTGATTAATCTGATGCTCTACATTTTGTTCCTCAAATGTTGAAATATGTTTAAAAGGTTTTAGGAAGTGTGTCATGGGAATGTATTAATTTGCTGCTTGTTATGGAATAAGCCATCATATCAGTTTTGTTCATGTTTGAAGTTCTACTTATTTCCCTTGCAGGCTTGTGCCTCCCTGGAGGAAGGATATCTTCCGCCAGTTACATTTATTGTGGTGCAGAAAAGGCATCATACACGTCTTTTCCCTGCTGACCACACAAGGCACAACCTGACAGACAAGAGTGGCAATATTCTACCAGGTCTAAAGTTTGGCTTTTCTTTCTTCTTCTTTTCTCAACGTACTTTATTTATGGTTTTCTTTTGTTCTTTCCTTGGTTACTAAATTTGATGTGTTTGTTTACAAGGTACCGTGGTTGACACCAAGATTTGCCATCCCAGAGAATTCGATTTTTATCTGAATAGCCATGCTGGAATTCAGGTGAACCTGGGTTATTTTGTTCAAGCAAAAAACCTAAGAAGCAAAGCTTCTTTGACATTCTTATACCTTTTATTGATATTTTTGTTTCACCAATGAATAACTAGGAGTTTTTGTTTTCATGACCTTATAGGGCACTAGTCGTCCTGTGCACTACCATGTTCTGTGGGATGAGAACAAATTCACTGCTGATGCATTGCAAGTGCTCACTAATAATTTGTGTTACACGTAATTTTTCGTTGCCCTGATCATTTGAAAATTTAAGTTTTTTTTCCCTTTTTTTGCATTAACAATTGTTCTTGAAACCTTTCCAGCTATGCAAGGTGCACACGGGCTGTTTCAATTGGTTAGGCACTCATCCTCTTTATAAATTACTTATGTCTTCATTATACACCATATCATTATTTCAGCAGTATATTAATCTGTCTGTCCATTTGCAGTGCCTCCTGCTTATTATGCGCATCTAGCTGCTTTTCGAGCTCGGTATTATTTAGAAGAAACGATGGAGTCGGATAGTGAATCTGCAAGTGGAGGGAGGAGGGCGATCACGCCATTACCTTCCATCAAAGACAATGTGAAGAACGTTATGTTCTATTGCTGACTTGATCACAGTTTAGTGTCTTGTGAGGTGGATTCCCTTCTAGGTGGTCATTTTTTGGCGCAGCAATTGGGGAAGTAACAGGAGGAAGATGTTGCCTTGTTTTGTTTTTGGGTTTCATCTCTGCAAGCAGTAAGGATTTTTTAAAAAGACACATTGATTATGAAATGAGTACAAAAATTTTACTTCAATTTCAGTTTGATTTGTGGATTTTAATATGCAAAGCTACAGCAGAAGAAGTGAAAAAGAGGATTGTTTTTGTTTTAAATATATATACGCTCGCGTACACACAAACACACACACACACGCACATACATATATTCCAGTCAATCTCAGCGTCCGTCAGCTCCGCTTTTTCAGTAATCTCAAGGTGTAGCTTGAGCGTGGGAAACAATTTGGGGATTCCACAAATTAATGAAGTAGTAGTACCTTATGTTTAGAGCTTAGTGTTTAGTATATTAGCATTAATATTTTAAAAAATATAATATTTATTTAATGTAAGTTTCCATGAAATTGTAAAAATAATATTTTCAAATGTGTTCATTTTCCACTAATTGCTTCTTTTTCCTCTCTACTCTTAATTATTAGAGTCATCGTGGTTATTGATCATAATAATTTCTTAAAATTTTTTTTTTATTAATTTTAGTTGTTAAAGTATTTTCAGATTCTTCATTTTTAAAATTAGAATTCAGTCTCTCATTAGTGATCTTAAGAGTGCACTATTGGAACTCTGGTTAAAAAGAAAGCAACAAGCCTCAGTATGTAACTTTTCATCTTTCTAATTTTAAGTCCAGATTGGAAGGAGAGAAAATCTCTCATCTCTTTGGTTTTATAGAAGCGCTGAGTGATGGTTCGTAATAATATATATCTTCTTTTATTTTGACTTCATTTCCCCCCCATACATGATAATTTTTGTAAATATAGGTTTGTTCGAACAAATGTTCAAAGAAATGGTTCTTGAAATTGAAAAATTATCTTAGAATTGTATGTTTTATATGGTAATTTTTTTTCTTTGAATTAAGAATTAAAATTAAAGCTTTACGAGAGTTGATTGGATCAACAAGAGTAGAAGAGAAATGTGTTGACTAAGTTATCATTTGATCCTATCTTTGAATTCAAGATTTACCCTTAAACTAAATGATTCCACGAAATAAACTGGTGGTGTCGTCTTCTTTCCAGCCATTAATATGTTTTTGACAGTAGAATTTTTTTTTTTTACAATATCTCATATTAATATATCTTGGAAATGATTCTCATATGCCCTAATTTAAAGAAACAAAATTTTACAGGAGTATGGATTGCTAAATACATTCTGAAGTTCAAAGAGCATTCCTAAACCAAAATTAGTGCAAAAACATAAGAGCGTCATTCAACACTTGCTAACAGTATAGGTGTTTCACTGTTAAGATGCAAATGCAGTCAAATTTTGCTACCACTTGCCTCCAAATTTTCTTAACCCATATGAGTGAATGGAGGTATAACACAAATTTCTTTCATATAGAGAAGGTCTGAAAATTTTATATTCACTTAGATGTTATAAAGAACTATATAGACAAGTTGATATGTATTCCTCCATTCAATTCAACAAGGGACTTACATATAAATGGTTGTGTTCTAGGGTGACATTTAGATTATGGAAATGTCAAAGTTGGTCTTAAAAGTATTGTTCATTTTAACATCTTAGTTCTGTATGTTGCTTTATTCCGAGTCACAGGTTTAAGAACTTAGTTTTAAAAAATACATAGGTTAAAGAACTTGATTAGCTAGTGATACTTTTCTTTTTAAAGGTTCATTTTAGTTTATTTTTCTCATATGATGGTGCTCTTTAAATTTGTAGAAGTTTTTATGACAATTATGAAAGCTCTTTTCATTTGATCCAGAATCTTTTCTGACTTTTCAGAGATGAAATTGCGACACGGGAAAATGTACAAGGTGTTGTTGAGTTCTTATTTCCACAACAAAGACTAACTCTTCAACATTTAACTTTTAAGTTTTTGCTTAGGTTTCTCTGTACAGAAAATGTTTTTGTTTAACTGAGGAAAAGAAGCAGGGGAAGGGAGAGTCTGACCTGGTCTTGGCCCAAGTTGAGAGATACAATCTTCTAAGTCTGTGGATGCTAAAAAAAAAGAAAAATTATACTAAATGGAGGATTGCTGTCTTTCCATATTCGTCGTTCCTGAACTTGCATTTAGTTAGGAGCATGTTTGCATCACTGCCTTGAAGATGTAATTCTAAAGATTGATGGTTTCGGTTGGATAGAACTAAACAAATATACACAGAAAGCTGTTTCTCCATCTATAAAGGGCTGAAACGAAATTGACAGCAAAGAATTTCTGAAAGGGTAACTTGATCAGTTATTCACGCAGAAAAATAGATTGAGGATGCTGTATCCTGATTTTCCAAGTTCTGAAAGATGTTTCCTTTTCAGCAAGTCGTGCATTTGCAGGCAAGCTTTCACATTGTTTCTTGGTTCTCCTTGTATTTATTTATTATTATTCCCCCCCCTCCCCCCCCCCATGTCATTAACTTTCAAATTTTATCTTTTAGGATCACTCGGCATTGATGATGAAGCTTCTTCGAATGATGCCACGCAAGGTAGAAATATCTCATGCATCTCGCTTGAGATTTTATATTCAATTGTTATTTTATAAGCAAAAATTTCAGCAACAATCTTAACTATTATGCAGGAACCAAACTTGAAAATATTACTTGTATTTCTTTTATTCTTTATTCAAGTATTAACAAATATTTTCTGCAGACTGCATTCTCGGAATTTCTTCAATGAATATGGGAATCTGATGCACATTCGTTGCGCTTTTAGCATCTTAATAACTTTCTTATGGAAAAGTGATGAACGAATTCGTAAATGTACGAAATCGTTCAAGTAATAAATTAATGAGTAAAGTATCGTCTCACATGAATTGCATATCAAGTATTAAAATTATAAAAAATTTTAATATTATTTAAAAATTAAAATTAAAATTTTTTATTAACGGAGAAACACCTGAGTAATTAATTTCATATGAATATTAGGTATATTTAATTTTAATTTCACAATCGATTTAATCGAGTTTTCAGTGATCGAACTATTCTATTCTAAAGTACTTTTATTTTCCTTCCCAGTATTCTCTGTGATAATTTAATTTCTGCGCATTAACTCGACTATATCACTCTTATTCAAGTCTAATTAATGTTTAACGGTATATATCTAATTGATAGAATTTTACTCCTATTACTCTAAAATCATCAATCACAAATAAAGTTATGAGTTGGTCAATCCTCAGAATCTAATTAAATTCAGTATTGCTAAATTACAAACAGAAGAAAGTTAAAAATTAAATCACAAATTTATCTTTAATTCAGACTATGCTAATTACTCTAGCGAGGAAAAATCACGTGCACATAATGAAATAAGTAATAACAAATATAATTGAAAAAAATTATAATCACGTAACAATCAAAAATAAATTATAAAAATTTTTAAACACTAGTATTCAAATTTCAATCATTAAAAAAAAAAAAAAAAACTCTAAAAACTTTCACCCAACAATATACTAATTAAAAATTTAAATAAATATTACTTCGTTATTATTTCTCTAAGCTTCTCTCTCAACCAAACTCTTTGTTATACTTCTTCTCCAATCAGCTCGCGATTCTGCTTATGTTATGCTCAATTCGCCACGTATGGTTTTGAGGTTCCCGCCTTCTACTTATGTTATGCTGCGACTGCTTTCTCTCTCTATGTTTCTCTTTTTCTTTATTTTACATATTTGATTTTTCTCTTCCTTTTTTTATTTATTTTTATTCCAATCTCCCTTTTGTATGCGGGCGGGAGGTAGGGTTTTCTTGCACACGCCTCCTCCTCTTTCCCTTCCGGTCGATCTTTTTCTCTTTTTGCTTTCTAATTTTTTTTTTTAAACTCTTCAAAACGACGCCGTTTCGGTGCCTAGTCCTAGACTCAAAACGATGTCATTCTGAGTGTTGTTAGGCTTTGAGGTTTTATTACGGGTCTGGGCTGGACTTGACGAGTCTGTTGGACTTCTTTTCTTTCTCTTTTCTTCTTCAATCTTCAATCTTCAACCATTTTTTTTTTCTCTTTTCAATATCACCTACATCCCAATTTTACTAATTAATTTATTTTTAACTCAAAATTATTTTAAAATTAAATAAAAAATATATTAAAAATATTATAAAAGTACAACATATCAAATATCCATAAACATAAATTTTTGTTTGTCCTCAAGCAAAATACTAAAAAGAAACACTTAAAAGTAAATTTTTCAACTATATTCATTTATTCATTTTGATAGTATTGAAATTCTATTTTTTTTGTTTACAATCGTTAGTCAGTTAAAAATTCAAAATGAATGTTGTAAAATATAAATAGACTATGAGTTTTTATACCCCTCAATAAAATTCGCATAATTTCAACACATAAATTCTATTTCTAAGTTTCTATCCTTAATTTATAAATTATGTTTTGTTTAACTTTATCTCTTTACTAATTCAACCAATGTATTGAACTTAATCCTATTTACTATATATATATATATATGTTTTTGTCACAATTTATTTACTATATATATATATATATACACACGCTTCATCTCAAATTTTTACTCTAAACATATTTTTGCTAACGAGTGCATTTTATGCTCCATATCACTTTTTCTCTTGAAGTGCTTATTATTATTATTATTGTTGTTGTTATTATTATTATTATTATTATTATTATTCCAAATGAGTGAGTTTTAGCTTCATCTCACCTGTTACATGTTAGTTGATTTGTTTTATTTATTCAAACTTTAATTTAGGGCTAGCTTAAAAGGTAAATATCAAACTCTCATCTTTTATATCACAAGTGTAATGTCTAAATTAAGTTCCTATACAATTGTCATTAAGTTAAATTAAATAATCGCTAATTATTCTAATTATTATTTACAAACTGTCTCCCATTTTTTTTAAAGTAACTACAATTTTAGTCATGACAAGATCTCAATTCCATCATGTTTTACTAATTATTTATAGTGAAAAACTTAGTCTTTTAGTGTATAGAAAAGAAAAAATAAACTTAAAAAAATAAAATAAAAAAGGCATATTTTACTCTAAATTCCAAAACCCCCAAATTTTTTATGAATAGTGTCCTCATTGTTTATTAACACATTCTATCCAAAAAAATAAAAAAAAAAAATAGTG